ATATCATATTTATGCATTAAGAATGAAAGTAAAGAAAAACTAAATAATCCTATAGAGATGTTTATCCCCACTTTATAAAAAAAAAATGTTTACAGGTAAGTGGTTACGTACAGTAAAAGTCAACTGATGCTTTTCCTTTGTTTTTTGAAAAATGCTAAATTTTATTATTTCTTTGTTTGTTATACCTGTGGCAACGTTAAACTTTTCTGCTTCACATGGTTCAGTAATTCTTCACTATTGTTGCGAATGTTATTGTGAATATAAGAAGAGTGTGCTGAGATTTCTTACAGCGATTCATGGTTAATTTTCCAAATAATTTACATCTCAATTAAGAAAAAAAACATCAAGTTTAAGTTTTAAGTAAGAAATTATTTTAAGGTTAACGTTGATTTTTCTAAATTTGTAAGTAGAATGAAGCTTTAGATGTACGTATAAGCTGTCATTTTAAAATTTTATTTATAGCCAAGCAGCATAGAGAAAACGCACGAAATTTAAAGAAAGGAAATTTTTCCGCTGAAATTTTTGTAAATTAGACCTTTTAAGAAACATCATTTATTCAGGATGTACAATGGCATTGGGTTGCCCACTCCACGTGGTTCCGGCACTAATGGTCATGTACAACGTAACTGGGCGTTTGTGCGCCCTGGCAAGAAAGATAACAATTATCGTACAGAAGAGGACATTAAAAGATTGGATGCTACTTTAAACAGACCGCCTAATAGAGAAATATTAGATCACGATCGTAAACGTAAAATAGAAGTCAAATGCTTGGAATTCGAAGAAATCTTGGAAAAACAAGGGTCAGTACAAAAATAAATTAATAATTATTTCAAGGATCCATTGTAGTGATTGCATATTTTGCTAAAATAGAAAAATTTGTACCTAAAACTCTATGTCTGTTTTATGCTTGCTTGAGAAAAGATTACATTGGCCCTGGAAGAGAGTTTTAATATTCCAAGGAAATATAAAAGTAAAAGCTTTCTTTCAACCAATGTTTCTATGGCTCTGATTAATATCTGTTCCAAATTTTCTTATTTGAATTCAATCCATTTTTAGTGTTTTTACTTTTTAATTAATGTCTTTGAATTCCGGCCGTTTTCCAGGTTTGGAAATTGGGTACTATTGGGTATCTTACGGATATTATTTTAAACTTTTAAAATCCTTGGACATGAATTGGTGTTAAGGTAATCTCTACATAAGTACGCTTCTAAGCTGCGGTGATCGTTTTCTGACAGCTTTTTAAAATGTAAATTTGGCAAGTTTTGCACACATAAATGCTGCTAAGTAAACAATTTTTGCGTTAACACCCTTGTAGGGAAGACAATTTTTGCTCGCATAGGCAGAACCAAAATGAAAGTATAGTATTCATGTGTTGACATCATCATAGAAGAGTGTATTCACTTCCTGATAACGTTTATAATAAGAATTCGTATCAGAATGCCCATTTTAAGAAAACATTTAAATTTATGATATAATCGAATTTAATAGATCCAATTTGGAAATGTGGCTAATTCGTTTTTGAATGCGTCCATATGAAATAAAAAACTAGAAACAAATCTATAAAAAATTTCTATTTCTATTGATGTAATTTATTCAAGAATTTAAAGAAAAAAGTGTGAACATAAATTTTTAATGTTAGGCCAAATTAATAACTAATGTTTTGAATAGAAAAAATCAGGTGAATCCCATTAAAATCTGTACAATAAAAAATTTTTATGCTGTAATAATGCATTTGTCTTTTAATTGTTATGTCGAAAGCTTTTCTACTCATTTTTACCCTTATAAAGAATTAATTCGAAGAGAGAATAACAGAGAGTATGAAAGACATTTCAGTAGATTATTATTATTTTTATTATACCACATATAGGCAAGCACGTCGTAAGCATAAAACTTTGTCATGTAAGGGATGTAAATAATTCCTTCTGTTGACTTTGTTTAAAACAACAACAACAAAAAAAAGAAGGAAAAAGAAAAGCTTGCAATATTATCACAAATACACTTGACAACACCTCATAACTAGTGGAAACGTTGAAGGAATCATACTAACCATAGACGCATATATATAGAGTAAAATATATTTGAAAAAAAGAGAACAGGAAAAAAAAACAAAAGTGAACAAACTTCTTTTTAACTAAACAAATTTTTTTCAAAGGCTTATTTCAAAATTTTTGAAACAATTTAAGTAAAAAGGAAGAAAAAGAGACGTGTTAAAAACAGTCTGATGAAGTTTAATAAGTCAAATAAAAGAGGTAGAGTGTGTAGAAAACCTTTATAAAAAAATAATCAGAAAAAAAAAACATAAAAATGGAGAAAATACAATTTAATCATTATTTCGTTGATTTCAGTTGTATACCAGACGAAATCAGGGCCAAAGTTGATTCCTATAGACAAAAATTAATGGGACAAGGCAAAGTTGATGTACCAAGAGATGAGTTTGGCAGAGTCTCGTAAGTATATTTCTCAATACATTTTTGTTTATGTACCAAGATATTTTTATTTGTATAAAGAAAAAATCAATTAAATCAAAGCTTCCATTTAAAACGACTATTATGTAATGTTTGTTTACTTCATTTTCTATTTTTAATATCAAAAAGTAACAAACTGTACAAAAATTTGTTATAATATAATAACTAAAAATTCGATTTTTTTCTCCTAAAATAAATAAGAAATTAAAAAATTAGGTTAAAATACTGTATGCTTATTAAAACATACAAAGATCTTTTTCTAGTGAAATAATCAATAAATTTTATATAGTAACCATTCTCTAAACTGTATGCACTAACGTAGTTACTCAGGTGAAGTGCTCTCAATTTTTACGAATTATGTTAATGAGAGTAACAAAGGACTAGTTATATTCACCTTGGAGTGAGCCTCGCATAATTCGAGTAGAAATATAAAATCCATCAAGCTTTCAGTTAACTGTGGGTGTGCCAGTTGATCGATATTTACTGTAGCCTGTATGCTGCAAACTATTTCCAATAATGATTTATAATTTTTGTTGGGACTTGGCTTGCTTCCCTGCTATCTTAAGGCAAAATATGAAATTCTCTACATATTTCAATTGTAGAAATTTGAATTGGATAATTTTCATTAAATGCTATAAGTTACTCTGAACAATATTTTGTTTAAGTTTTGTAAATCTTTGTAAAATGTTTACACAGCGATTGTACATACTTGATATAAGTCAGAAATTAAATCAAGGAGTTAAACGTCAACAACGAACTGAATTCGTGTTCTTATACGTTTCTTATTGGCTTTGGCTGTGTGTGGGCTTGCAAGTGTTACAAACGCAATGCAGAACTTAACAAAAACTTCATTTTCTTTTGGAGCAAAAATAAGCGAAAAACTACCCTAATCAAAGATGGTCGTTTTAATTATGAAGAGATTCTCACAAGCTGAGAGTTCAGAAATAAAAAATACTCTGCGGCAAATAAATAAAAAGCTTACTGAGCAGTTTTCAGTTATCACAAGTCTTCCAAAAGCAAAAGTTGTACAAAACTAATAGAATATATGTATTTCTATATACATACATATAAATATATATACATATATAATAATGTCTTCCATTAGTATAAAAATTTAAAAAATTTTTTAAATAATCAAAAATAATTTAATTTTCTAAAATTTAATAACCGAAAAGCGAAAGAAAAAGGTGAAGAGTTCTTTTATGCGAACTTTTTAAAACAATAAAATTGTCACCGTTCTCGGAAAAATCAATATTTTATAGATTTCTTGAATACAAATAACATTAGAAAAAAAGTATAACAAATAAACCAATAAATAAATGAAAAGAAAATCGTATAAAGAAAAAAAAAAAAACATTACAAATCATTCAACTCGGTTGATCCCTAACCTCACATGACGAGAGTATTAGAGAAATCCTCATGCAAAATGGATTAAAAGATTTAAAACTGAGCAAAACAAAAAGCTGCTGACTAAACACTACGAAAACTATTTAAATAAAACTAATTGAAGTAACGAAAACGAGAACAGTAACTTCTAACTAAGCAACAAATCACTAAATAAGTCTTCCATTGCAAAAAAAAAAGATAGTATTCAAATAAAAATTCGAATGAAAACTTCATATTATAATAAGAAGAAAACTAAGGAAATGAAATGGAATAAAAATTAAATAATTAATTTGACATGAAATCCAATACTGTCCAGCATTTTATATAAAAATATGTAATAAAGAAATTTGTTTTGTAAAAGTTTCTCCCAAGTCTTCCAATCCTCTTAAACCAGAAGACCCAAAAATCATACAAGGAAAACAAGCGTTATTAACCAATGTCCGCGAATAAGTAGGAAACTAAGAACCTTATAGGCTTTCCAGTGTTCTATATGTATGTATATATACATATATATATGACATATATAGAATGCATATATATATATACTTATATACGTATATATATAGACATACACATAAATGAAAAATAAGTTTTTGATAATTGTTACAAAAATACATTAAAAAAAACTGTGAATAATTCTTATATGCAATGAAATTCTAAGAAATATGTAATAATATGGAAAATACATAACAAAGGATTTTTGAAGAAGAATGTAAATATAATTTAGCTGCAATTATATAAAAAAGTATACAGAAATTAAAAAAAATATTTCGAAACAAAAAGTTCGAGAAAATAGAAAAGCTGAAACGAAATTTTAGATATTAAAATTAAAATTAAGTACCAGCAAAATATTAATATCCGTAATAAAGAAAAATGCATAAAATTGAAGAATAATAATCACCAGTATCAAAAATTAATTAATTTGAAATAATTCACGACAAAAGCCATTAATAATTTCCAAGCAATTAAAATTAATAATAATACTAATGACACTACATTTTTTTCAATTTGAATCAAGTGATTTTATCAATCGTAAAATTTAGTTTTGATTAAAAAAATGTATAAATACATAAATAGAATAATTTAAATACACAAAACGAACAAAGTGGGAATAATTGAGAAATTTCTTTTCTTTAAAATAAAATATGCATTCTATTATACATCAACCTATTCCTCCTTCTCTGCCCAATCAGATCCCCCCTGGGGCAATAATTAATTTGATGAAACCTAGAAAACGTCGAAAACGCCATAAACAATTAAAAACTGCTAATGCGTTCATCGTTGATGGTGCCAGTGGAGCTGGTGTTGGCGGCGGCGATGATGATGCAATTAAACATGCTACTACGACAAGAATTGTGAAAAAAACCATAGCAACAAAAGCGAAACAATATTTTCAACATGATACTCGATTAGAGAAAGAAAGACAATCGGTACGAACTACTTCCTCCATATCAGCTTCAAAATCTGCATCAGCATCTTCATCGTCATCCATATATTATAGATATAGTTCAGAAAGAGAGCAACTTTTGTATGCGGCAGTGGCTCGAAAATTTAAACCCTTATTCACTATAGAACCATCAAAAAAGATTTTAGCAAAACAAAAACGTAGAAGACTAGGAACGAAGGCCTTATTAAATAAACAACGGTTAAAGCGTAAAATGACTTCAACTAGAAAGAAAGAGATAACATCTGCGACCGCTCTCACGCATTACTGCATGTGCTCGTGCAATCAAACAAGTCACAGGCGATGTGTTAATAATTTAAATGAAAGATTATCACTGAACGGCGCGAGCAACATCAACAATGCCACTAATTTCTGTGGTTTATCTAAAATGTTTGAACTCTTGCAACAACATACCACGCCTACAGCGGCTACTACAGCTTTGCTATTAAATTCATTAATACAAAGTACAAAAATCTTAAATGAAAATAAAATTATTTCCAAAAGGTATTTTGACTTTTTAGTGAGGGGTATTTCAAGTTTCTCTGCACTTCCTTTTTTTTATTTATAATTTTTAACAATTTTTTATTACATAACATAGATTAACGATCGGCAACACAGAGTCCCCACTGTTCAATAACAAGGAAAGTCATTTTTTTTCTAAAGCATCGTTATTTGAACTAAAAAGCATTTAGTAGGGATAGGTTGTCCATTCGATTAATTGCATAAAATTTCTTGCATTCGTTCTCGTCTACGTGTTAAGATGGCAATCTATATTGAAATTCACTCTCTTTATTTAAACAAACATTCCCAAATATAATCAAGCATTTTGACAAAGCTGGTGGAAGATATTTTAGTATTTTTTTTGTATGTTCGTAACGTATCCGACGATAGCTCGCATTATGTTCTCCCCTATACTGCGAATGATTTCGTGGGTTTTCCCTGCAATAGACTATTTTCACGCATCAATTATTGGGAAATAGGAAGGTGAACTTCAGATCGATGATCTGCACTTTCTTGTTCTTGTGTTCAACATTGTGATGCAAGCTTTATATTATGTGGGGAAAGACGTAAGAATTCAAATTTCATTTTAAGTAAATGGCATAATTGTGAAAATTGGCTTCAACTAGCATATTGCTCATTAGTATATAATTAACTAATCAATCTTTGTAGTCGTAAATTGTTTTTAAACTTTTTTCCTCATATAATCTGTCTTGTTATCCGGAGAACTGTCACAAATTTAAAAATTTCCAAAGTTTCCTTATTCTTACCTTTATGTCATCAATCAAAATCAAATCAATATCAGAGAAATTCTTGTCATTGATTCCAGTGCAGTCATGATGAGAGAGTAGACATTCCTTCATTCACGTTTAATTCTTTTGAATTCTTTTGCTTCAATTTACTCCTAAGCATAACCCAGTCAAATATTTATGTTTCATTAAAATTAGGGTCGAAGCGTGTACTTTTTGATTTTTTCAATTTTTATTTATTTCTTATGAGGAAACTAACGAATAAGGGAATGTTTTTTGTTTCTAGAATTCGTGAAACCCATCAAATAGCTGAAGCACAACAAAAGAAAAACGCAAAATTACGCGAAGCCTTTAACATTTCTGAATATTTCGTGGAAGGCTCGAGTTTCGATACAGATCGCAAAGCTAAAGAAGATTTAGCCAAAAGTTTGGCTTTACAAAAAGAACTGGACGCTCAACGTGAACAAGCAGCTGCTACGTCAGCTAAAGCTAAGGACAGCGTAAAACGTTATGGCATAGTACGTACACCATCAAAAGAAAGAGAATTACCAACAGGAGGTGTTAGCGGTGGCGTTGGTGCTGGTGCCGGCGGTTCAGGTGATGATCATACAACCCAAAAAAAGAAGAAAAAGAAGAGAACGCGTGAGAGGTAAATTATGCACGCATTAAAAAAATGATTATTTTCATTAATACAAAAAAAATTTTGTTAAAGCTCTGCTAGTCCTGAACGTAAAAGAGACAAAAAGAAGAAATCAAAGAAGCATAAGAAAGAAAGGTAAGTGCTTTTCGAATTTTTAATAACATTATATGTCTTATATATATATATTATATGTCCATATATATATATATATATATATGCATATATTTTAAACTTAGTAGTTTATAGATTTTTTAGGTAATGTTTGTAATATCTGTTTAAAAAAAATTTTCATTTTCCATTTTTAATTTACATTTAATAATTATGCCCTACACCACAAATTAAAAAAGAAAGTTGTTGTATTAAACGCAAATGAAAGGTACACCATTACCCTCTACTGTAACTACATCTCAAAAAATATTTATAGAAAATATTTCTGGATAGCTAACTTCCTGTACCTTAAAGTGGAGCCTCATATGGGGCCAATATATCTTCTACACAGTGTATACAATTCTGGTAATATATATGATCGATCGTAGCTTGCCGCATATTACAATATTTCACTTTTAGGTGTTGGTGTATGCTGTTTACATAGAGATTACTTATTTTGAGGTTATTAAAATTCTTGATGGTTACTTCATTTGTTGCGTTGTTATTATATATTTCTTCGAGGTCTTTTTTTTGTTTAAAACCTTCCATTATCTCACTTTTTCGTCCGGAAATATCCGCAGAAACTTGGGCAAATATTTGAACGAGTGGTTTGCGTATGAAACTGCGGTGATTCAAGAATTCAAGTCAAAGAATTCTAAATCATGACGTTTTTCGTCATTTGGTCCAATATCTTCTTGAAAATGGTTTAATTTATATAATTCGGAGCAAGTCGGGAGCCTGGAAGAAATGCCATAATATCTGCATTATATCGTGCACAACTCACACCAGTGGTATTGTTTTCCGTTCAGAATTGAATAACTACATCAATCTGATTGTATCAAAAAGGAAGAGCTTAATAAGTTACATAGCGGGGAAAGAAGTGGATTGAGGTGAAGTTTTTTTCGTTCGAGTGCCCAACTTATTAACTCCTTTGTTTCTTTATATTTCGAAATGCTTTCGTTACTACTTTGGATCAGATGTTTAAGTTAAAAATTTGAACATAAGTGAATATTTTATAAAATAAGCTAATGTTTTGAATCAGAATCAATTTAAAATTTCCTTTTTTACGATATCGCACGTGTGACCAAGATTATTTCAATTAACATAGAAAAGCATTCCATGCTCTACTTTATTTTCTGTTTTTTACAAAATTTCGCTGACTGCTACCATATAATTTATATAAATACATTCCCCACACATATGAGAGCTGTCCGAAGTGTCTTATCGATGTTTTGATGTGCATCGGATGTCAATAAAACCTTGCTCGTAGTTTGCATTATTGATAAAAAGAACATTGATAAGCATGCCAAAGTGGTGTAGGGTATCGGGTTGTCAGGAATCATCGATCATATCGTTCTCACTTGTAGAGTAATATTTTTATTTATATATTTATTTATTTATTTATTTATTTTTTTGTTTTCTTTTTGTATTAAACAATGAATCAGTAGCGTTTTTTGTTTTTTCAGTTTACTCTTTACTTTGAACTCTTTTTTTGTTTTTTTTTTTTTCTGTTTTAACTTCGTAATTACTAAAAACTTTACAACAAACGTGTTAAACGAATTCTCTTTCTTACCGATTGCTTCACATTTTTATTCTCTACTTTCTCTGCATTTTTGTTTTTTCAATCAAATAAAAAAAATATCTTGAATATAATCATAATAAAACATCAAAAGGAATTCTAATAATAAGGAAAGAAAAAAGAAGAGAAAGGATTAAAATATATATATATATATATGAAAAAAAAAGAAAATGAATATATAAAAAATAAATAAATAACATAAAAAGACGATTAAAAAAAAAAAGACAAACATTATTAAGAAGATTTTACACAATACCAAAACATGTTTAACGAATTAAAATAAAATAAATTTGTCTAAATGTACAAAAGTTATCTTTTGGGCTCCTCTTCAATCCAACTATAACTACACACATACACACTCATGAAATTTTAGATAATCCTTTAAATGCCGAAATCATTTCATTACTTATTTATACAAGCCAAATGTATCTCTTAAAAAAAAACATTTAAAACTACATCCAGTCAATCAAGTTCAAGTGATCTTAACAAAAGCGAAAGAAGGAAATGAAGCAATTTTTATTCTTTTTTTTTTTAACAAAAAGGAAAGAAAAATAATTTTTCATTTTTTTATATATAAAATATATGTATATGTAAAATGTAATATATAAATATATATACATATATATATATATATATATATAAACAAAGTATAATACAAAATATAATACATATATGAAAATGATGTGTATATTTTATTAATGGTTGAACCACGACTTTAAACAAATTAACATAAAATTGTTGAATTTTTTGATAACTATGATGATGATGATGATGATGATAATGTTGATGGGTAAGTAATGTAATTTTATTTGTAATTCATTTCCTCATTCCTCCTCATAATTTCATTTTGATATTTAACCTACACACTAAAGTAAAATATTTTTTTTTCTATTTTGTTTTTTTGAAAATCTAATTTTTATTGCTGTCTCTTAATTTTCATCAACGCAGACTATATCTGTTAAATATACGGAACCGCATCTGCTTAAAGATTTCTATTTAAACCTATAAAACTTCCATGTTAATGTGTTTATGTGCGTTTCTGTGTATTTATTTACGCACAGGAATAACTTTCAAGTCATTATAAATACATAAATATATAACAGGCAGTATTAGTTTTATACGAAAAAAGGGGGGCAGGCGTCAGAAAATGCGTCTGATTCTAAGATCTGGCTTTATTATATATTATACAAGGAGACTGTCATCGAATTTTGTTCCCAAAAATATGATCCTTTGCCACATTGTCTAAATCTCTAACAATGTATTTCAAAAATAGTTAGCCGACATAGATAGGGTATATTATGGTCCGATGGGAATCTCCACTAACAGTTATAATTTTGCACTCTCTATTAGGAAAATGCAAAAAAAAAAACTATAGCGGTTAACCATTGAATAGTCTGCAGTACTTCGTTTAATGTTATTATTGGTATTACGACCTTTGAAAATTAGGCTTTATATGATGAGAAGTCGAAAAAGTAATTCGATCCGAACAATTGTCAGTAGCATTCGTCCTTGAACCAAAAGAAGAAGAAGAGAAGAATTGATCAAATAAGAATAATTTCATTAAATTATTTTACAAATTACGACTTCTGCACAAGATTAATATAATCATGTACCACAAATGTTGTGGGGTATAAAAAGTTCCGTTTAGATAGAGCACCCGTACTTTCCTCATTGTCTCATCTGAAATAATATTACGACCGAAAGTTGAGTTTTTTGCAATTTGCTTTAGCATAAATGTACTGAAAACTGAATCTTATAATTAAAGCTTTTTCAGGTCGTCAACACTTTACGTGTCAAGTATTAATGTTCTTAATCTTATAAGCTTCGAAAAATTACGAAATGTATAGTACATCGGATTGTGGAATATTCTTGTAAAATATTTAAGTATTTGCTTCTCATAAGTATGTCCGAACATGTTCTAAATAATTTGCTAACATCTTATATGATTAAATTATCAAACCTTGGCAAATCAAAAAAAAAAATTGCAGACTAAATGTTGCGATATAGCTTCCAGCGATGAAAACGAAACTGGAACATCTCTGCTTTACGGAACTCGCCTTAATATACTAGACTTGGTCGACGTTTTGTTCCCCAACGCTCGAAACTAAGAGTATATCAACTTAACCGTTTTATTTGTTGTAACCGAACCTTTCTATGGAATGAGATAGAAAAAATTTAATTTTTAAAACCAACATTAGGTAAAAGGAAAGATTTGTCGCTTTCAGTTTTAAAAAGCATGTGTTTAAACGTTGCAACTGGCGCTGTCCTTTCAACGTGTTTGAGATGTAAGCTGGTCGTTTAGTCGTATTCATCGCTCGTTTCTAAAATCGAAAACTTTTGGTTTACGGCCTTTATAGCTTTAAACAATGAGTTGTTTTTGAAAATGTTCTATTTAGTCTTAAATCAAAACTATTTTTACGACAACTAAGACAACTAAGATGTCAGAATGCTGACTACTGACCGCGCATACGTGTAGTTTTATTCCAATCTAAGTTGATGATTGTTAAAATTAAACATTTTCCTTTGTCCCCTACTTACATTTTTTTTTTTGGATTACTTATAATTTGTCTCTTGCTTTTAGAAATCCCTCGATTAGTAAAATATTTTCTGTTTTTAGTTTATTATTGCAACAGAAACAACAACAACGTTGGTTGAACATTTTTAAATACAATACAATTATTTTCTCATCTTTCTTTTTTAATTGTTTCGAAAGTCTACCAGTATAAAGAAGTGTTTTTCTCTTCAGAAGGTAAACATTCACAAAAAAAAAAAAAAAAAAAATCGTGTTTTAAAATTAGGGTAAAAGCAAATTTGTTTAAATCTTGACACCAATTTATTTGAATATACATTATATAAAGTTGAAATATTAGTAATAAACTAAATATATCACATATATCTATGGCTTCACTAAATAATGAAACTTCGAAATTGTTTAATATTAACATATACAAGCTTAGGTAGCTACCTGCTTTCAAAGTTTTTAAAATGTTTCTTTTGATATAGAAACTACTTATAGAATTAAAAACAAAAAAAAAAAAATTTTTTAAAAATGTGTGATTACAAAATTTAAGAGCTCCAAACCTGCCAAGTTTAGAATTGATAGAATGGTAGATTTTAAAAATGCATCAATTTGTTACTTAGTGGACTAAAACTATCCTTTTCCTATTATATTTTTTTATAAATTTGAGATTTCCAAATTTTGGGAGTAAAACAAGAGAAAAGTTATATTTCGCTTAAGCCGAAATTGAGACGACTCATACTGAGCCACTAAAATCTAAATCCTCTTCTTTTTTGCTAAAATTAAAATGCAGTGATTTGTTTTGTTTTGTTTTTAGTCAATGTGATCGGTCTGTAGCTGTTAAGAGTCTTTTGTACTTTCTGGTTAATTAATTGTTGCATGAATTTTTCTTCCGAAATTAATTTGACATCTTTAAGGGAGGTCTATGGAGAGTGAAACAGAGAGTTGTAGTCAAACCAGGATATAAGGAATACGCTTTACATAGTCAAGTTTTTTGTCTATATTTGTTTTATTTTGTCAGACCGTTTGCAACCCCCAAAAGGAATCTTTAGGGACCCCACAAAGTTTATGTACTCTTAATCAGTATCAATATCTGAATCGATTTAAGCACGTCCATAAACTTTCTCCTGACCGCAAAAATTACGCTATCCTCTTCAATTTTGACAGCAACATTGGAAGTCCTTATACGCAAGTTGGTATTGAACATTTTACAAATCTCTTGAAGGACGTAAAGTGAGAATATTTCTGTTTGGCAAATAGAATACAAAATTGGTTCTTGCTCATTAAGCGTAAATTACAGCAGATAAGTCTACAAAAATTTGATTGTTTATTCTACAGGCGATGCCGTACCCACAAAAAAATGGTTACAATCGAAGTGCCAAAAAGTATGTGCATTCATTTGTGCGTCTGTGTTTCCGCGCAAGCGTCGTAGCGTGTAGGATCTGTGGTGAACATTCTCTCGTTCGCAAACAGGAAGATATCGTGTACAAACTTGCAAGAGAATTTGAAAAGGACCCAAACTTTTCGAGCGATACGCCCACACGCCTATGTAATAAAAACTGTAAACACTTTTGCTTTTCGTGGTTTTTGTTTATGTTTTGTTGTTAACACATACGTCATTTCCACTTTTATCCTGAAAATAAAAGAAATCACCCAATATCAGAGGGTATGTGAAAATTTAGTTCATATAATATAGATGATCTTGTTACTATAAACATTTAATTTGCTTGATATCTGCCTGATAACAACGAATTATAAATTTATTGATTTTAACAGCAATAAGTATTTTGAAACAGATTTTGCGGCACACGTATTCCCAACTACTCTTTAATCAAATTTCCGCAAGTATTACAACGCTTTAGGTCATTTACGTTTCTGTTAAGTTGTTCAACCTATCAGTTTTGCCAGATTTTTGCTAAAATATTTGTAAATGGCCGCTTCTTAAATTAACGAATTCTTGTTGTTGCTTTGACAGCACGTTTTGCAACTTTTTTCACGACTTTACGCATGGCTCTTTATCGGTTTAATTATTTTAATAAATAGCGGAGCTTACCTCGGAAGCATTTTTACGTTGTATTAAATGACGACTTCGAGTCATAAATCCTGCAAATTTGTCATTGTAACATCTATCTCGTAAGATACATGTTTTAGAAGCGTATGATGTGCAAATCTAGAAAGAATTACGGCAAGAATTACGTATAACTTATAGAGAATCAGGAGCAGCAAAGTATATACAAAATTTACCATTTGTTTTATTTTTTTCGAAATTTCTAATAGAAAAAATTATTCGCAACTTTAGGCGATTGGCATTTGCATACGAAAAGGATACGTACAAAATATTAGTTATAATTGAGCTGTCTAATTTGTTTTCAAGTTATGTCTACGATCCCATCATCCTTTTTTGAGATATTCCATGATTGGGATATGTTATTGAATCACTCTTCGATATGTTTCTTTTTTATGGCCTTAAATACGTGGCTTAATTATTGAAAAATGATATAAAAAACGACTATGACGGAGAAAACTGTTAAACAATCCAAAAACCTGATTGTAAACAATTTCGTAATATACTATTCAGATATTTCCAAATATCGTTGGATTTATTTTTAATAATTAAAATTTTCTTATCAATTTGCGAAGGTTTTTTTAAAAAAAAAAGACATACGAGAACATTATAGTCGAGCATGGCCGAAAATCAGATACCTCAACCCACTTCGCTTAACCGTTTTAGTGGCATACCAATATATGCTAAAAATGCCAGTAAAAAAGAGCATTTTTATAGATAATTTATATGAACAAGCTATTTATTCACCATTTCCGTTACAATACATCAATATCCATAATTTTTTCAACATTCTCTTCAGAAGATTTTATACTATGATTCCATTTCCAATATTTCGCGCGTGAATGAGGTTTCAAATTTGAATGCGATTCAAAAAATTGCGAACCATACCGATTAGTTTCGATAACCATTTTGTTATACAAAAACTCTGTGAAAAATAAATTGAAATACTCCAGTGAGGCTGCGCCACCTTCAAGAGCATGCTTGGGTCCACATACTTCAAGAAATACCCTTTGAGTTTGCTTTGTAAACGTGTTATTTGATGGCAGTTCCACAAATTGCATAATAACAGGCAACCTCCGATTGACAGGAACCCCAATATCACTTCCGCTATCGGTCTCATAATCACTATCGTCTGTATCTGAAAATTCACTTGTGTCCGACATTTCTAAATGAAAATTAAAACTATTAAAAAAATAATAATCGCGATGTTTTATATATAAAAAATATGCTATCGAAGGTAATTAGAATGCAACATAATGAATAAAAATACGAATACCGTAACACGGTCGTCACCTGCGCGCGCCAAAGGTGAAATGTCAACATCGGCTCTATCGCGTCGGTGGCATTTTTCACAAGTAGCAAGAGCACCGTGACGGCGCTCCTTGGCAGTAAAAGGGTTAATATAGTCATTCATTCATTTTTAAAGGGGCCTGCTTTGCATAAAAGCCCCCATATAGCGTACTAAATTACTATTGCTAAGCGATTTTTGACTCAAAATTCTGGGAATTACAATATTTTATACATAACGGCTTTTAGAAATAAGGCGTTCTATGGCAAGTGATAGCAAAAGAGGTCCCATTCGAACCATTCTAAGAAGCGTTTTTCCTTGGGCCAAAAAACTTTAGTGCAGAAAATTAAAATATCTTGAAAACTGCGACCTATAAAAACACCTGCACAAACATCACACGGACAGTTGGATACACTAGCTTAAAACGTTTAAATTGTTTAATAGAACTCAATTTTTCCGAAAATTCTCATAATGTTCCCTACATTGTTGATTTGTTGCTTTAGGTTCAAATTCGCACAACCTACAGCAGCATAACCTATTTCAGATAAGAAATCATTTATTTTACTAATCTAAAAAGGAAATTACATACTTTAGGATTTGTGACCTTATTAATTTCCATTTTTTAGAAAAGTTTATTCCTACCAATGCTAAAATTGTCAAGAGTTGAAAAAGCAAACTTTATTGCTTCCAACGCTAAACGTTTATATGGCCTGGACGAACTATGGACGCTGGATACAAATTCTTAATTAAGACGAATAGCACAGCCTATTCAGCATGTCTGTACTCTCTTTGCTCAATTTTTAGCTTATCGCAATGAGTTCAACAATCAACTAAACCGATCCGTAAACCCATCTTTAAGAAGAACATTCTGTCCTTAGCTTACAATATTACAGCTTCAATTGGACAAAACAAAAAAAACTATTTATTGAATTCTATCCTACATTTTCTCTTAATTAATTCTCTATATCTTAATTTAAGTTGAACTACGTGATTGTGAGTTAATAAGTTGAACTACCTGATTATGAGACGCAGTCCGTACAGTTAGCGTTGATGTATGGCCAAATAGTGTAAAAGTATTACAATTTGAAATATTATATTTCCCGTATGTGGATCTGGTGTAAAAGTACAAACATATATATATTTTTTTTTGATAACAAGTGGTTTGTTTAGTCAAATTATGCTTTATGTCGCTTGTAACAAATTTCAGTTATCTGCGACAGCTTCCTCATATCTTTTTATTTGATCAAACATTGTTGCAGCACCAGGTTGCCTGGATAGATTTTGTTTCATTTTATTAATCTTCACTGAAGACTCAGTTTAATTGAACGCTCTATCAGCTTGTGTAACATACGATATATAAATACAAACAATAAATGTATGCATTATCTATCGTTTCAATATAATTGAAGTGATTGAAATTGTTAAAAAAAAATTCCGTCTACACTTTTCTCTTGTTTTTTCAAAAATATTCAGTTAAAAAATTATTAAACGAGAGTTAATCTGAAGAAGAAGAAAAGAAATCAAATGAAGCATTTGAACTCTGGTTATCCATAATTTTTATCGAAAATACTTTTTAAACAATTGAGATTGACATGAAAGATTAATGTACGCAGTTTTTCCGGCGAGTTTTAATAAATTATTCATTGGTACTGTTCGACTATAGAATTGGAATTAAAGCGACAAACCGACGCTAATGCAAAAGATTGATGATTGACTTAGGAATTGGCTAAGAATTATTCCCCTTATGAAATGTACACTTCTCAAATATTAGTTCATGGCTCGGCACTTGTTGTCTTTATTCAAAATTTTATAATAATATACACTTTATATACACAATATACATATACTGTATAAAAATTGTCATTATCGATATTCTATAATTTGTATGCGAATTTTTCAAAGTATTACTTTATTTTAAAGAATTTTACATGTTTTTTATGTCTGCAAAGTTTGTGTCAGATGTTTTTAACCATCTACTCAAAACTTATATTTACAGTAAGTCGAAGAAAAAGAAGTCACGCAAGCGCAAAGCAAGTGTAACAGAGAGTGAGGCAGAGAGTGATAAAGATTCCGGAGATGAAGGTGATACCAGCGATTCCGATTGTGATGTAAAAAAGAACCGTAAAAAGAGCAAAAAAGGCAAGGTGAGTGCCAATCGCTGACCTTAAGCAGCAAATTAAAGATTAATTAATAATAAAAATGGAGACATTAATAATATTAATAATATGAATAATAACAATGGTGATAATAATAATATTAATAATAGAAAAGCACTCGAGAAATACATGCATGCATCTTGAATCAATTGAACAGCAAATAACGAATATTAAATAATTTTAATGAAACAACATGATGTCCCTTAAATGTTTTCTTGCTCTTAATTTATTTTCTTTCTTTATAATCCTCTACTTTTTTATAAAAAAAAAATAATTGAATAAATTTTAAAAAATATATTCAAACTCACTTCTATACATTAATAAAAGGTAAACATTTATAAATTAAGCCATTATTTATTTATTTATTTTAATTTACAGTATTTTTTTTATTTGAAATTTTCTTTTTTGGATTTGGTTTCCACGATGTATATACACATATATATCTATTTTCTTTACGTTATCAAGCTTTTAAAATTCATTATCGTTTAAAATAAAAAGAAAGAAAAAACATGAGAAAAATTTTTTAAAAATTTTTTGTTTACAAAACCCTTGGCGCTTCATTAAATAGGATAGCTTTCGAAAGGCTCTCTTGTAGTTTTGTAAGTACTTTCATTTAGTCTTGAATTCTGGAATTATTCTTTTCTTCAATATATATATATATATATATATATATGTATACATATATATATTTTTATTTTCTTTTCTATATTTTTGTTCGTTTATCTCTTTTCGCAAAAATATGTAAAAAGAATATACAAACATTATTCTTAAGCAAAGTGAAATTAATTTTCAAATAAATCTTTAAAAGAAAAAAAATTGAAAATCAAATGAAATAAATATATTTCGCACCTGTCATTAAAATTCATCAAAATAATTTTATAAAATAATTTTCGATATTAAAAAATTTGATAGCCAAATTAAATAAATTTTTGATATCTATATTATTCTTTTGTTTTTGTTTCGAACATTTAGAAAAAACGCGATAGGAAAAAGAAACGAGATCGTACCCCATCCACTGATAATTCACCTGTCAAGTAAGACTATACAACATTCAATATTAATTGTTAAAATAAATTACATTTTTCCAGCTCACCCACTCGGAAATCGTATGAAGCCAAAAGAGGTGCTAAAAGAACCGAGAAATTACATGAATCGCCAAAGAAAACATCTGATGGCAATCCTTTCCGTGGTCGGGGTCGATCAAGTGAACGATCTCAACACACATATCGTGATCACAGTGATCGACGTTATGATTCCTCACGGGAGAGTCGTCGAAGTCGTAGCGATAGAAACTCGAGAAATGATCGTCAAAGAGATAATTTTTCTCGACAACGTCAGCGTTACCAATCACCAGGCAGACGCAGTAAAGATTGTAGCAGAGACTACGACCGTGAAAACATTCGTCGCTCTAGATCACGTCGAAGGTCCAGACGCAATGAGTCCGCCGATCGTTTTAAAGAGCGCAAGAGAAAATGCTCAGAAGAACGTTCCTCAGCTCGCTTGGAGAAAAGGCAACGATATTCATGCTCTCGTTCACGATCATTTGTGTTAAAACGTGATGACAAAGTTGCACCAAGGGATTCACGTTCAATTCTGCGAAACGCACGCAAGCGCAGTCGTGATCATTTACAAAAGAAAGAACGGTTGCGTTCTCTTTCCCCAGAAAATAAGCAACGAGTCAAAAGTAGTTCTTTGACGCCGCCACCACTGCTGCGAACTAATTCCGGTGGACAGACGGCACTTGTAAAAAATAATGAAAACAGTTCTGACGGCAAAGGTAACGCTAAACCAAGCAGTAATAAAATACCTGTGTTCAGTCCTTCCAAACGTTGCCACTCAGCGAATGTTTTTAAAAATAGCACGAAATCGTTATCGCGTCGTAAATCGTCTTCGTCTTCAAGTTCAGAAACAGCTTCGGATTCAGAAAGTTCCCAATCCAGAACACCTTCTCCACGCAAAGAGCAATTAGAGAAAGCAATGACATCTATAATAACTATCAAATCAAAAGATATAATAACGAAAAGTCCAGAGCGAACTCGTTCTTTATCCAATTTACAGGAAAAGTCAAATAAGACTCAACGGCAAAGAGAAACGCCTCCAGGGTCGCCGAATGAAAGGCAAAGATTATCACCAAAGCAAGATAAACGCTCTGGATTAATAACGCAACGTTCACATTCGAAGGAATGCCACGAAAAGAGATCGAAAACTCCTCTCGCCCCCCTTCCTCCTCTGAAAACAAAAGAGGAAAGTAAATGTCGAAAAATTTCACGATCGCCGTCTAGAGACTCTTCAGAATTGAGCTACTCGCCTGCTAGACGCAATCCGGAACGTTACCGCGATATATTGGAAAGTTCAGTCCAAAAACAAAAATTAGAAAAATCTAAAACTGATGATATCCGCAGAGGACAGCAGCACAGTCAACAACAACAAAAAACATCTGTCAAACGTAATGACGACCACGATAAAGAACGCCTTGCTTATAGGAAAGATTTGGATAGCAAAGCCCGTTTGAGTATTACTAAATTGGCCCCCGTAGTGCGTTTGCATTCACAAAGTGAAGATGAAAGTGATTGTGGTGAGCGAAACTCCGATAAAGCAGCTTCAGTACTTGACGAATTTCAGGAATCACGCCGTGAAAGAGAACTGAAAGAGCTTAAAATGTTGGAACAGCTGAAGACAGGCATTGCCGCGAAGGCCAAGGAAAAAATCAAAACCATAGAAAAACTGGCTGCCACCTCATCATCAAACATCGGAGAAGTAAGTGATATTTCCGATTATGGAAAACGCGGTTTACGCAATTCCCTTAACGATTTTCTTGTGGCCAATAATGTCATGCCTAGCAGCAGCAACAACATCGCCAACAGTAGTAGCTATAGATTAAACAATGCAACTCCGGCTGCTATATATCCCCAAAATCGGGATGAAATAAAGAAAGAGAATGGATCTCCTTCACGTATATCTAATGCCAAAAATACCATCGTTAATAAGGACAATGAAACGCTGGCTGATTGCAAACAGTCCCAATCGGTGGCTGCAAATGGTCATGCGTGCAAAAGTCCAACAGCAAGCCCAACTCGCAACAGTCATTTATTACATAGTAAAGACAAAGAACGTAAACGAGATCGCGAACGTGAAAGAGAGCGAGAATCAGACAGAGACAGAGAAAGACAAATCAATTACTATAGAAGAGGGGACAGAGACAGTGAGCGCTACCGACGTTCACCACCCATACATAACGTTGGATGTGGTGGCGTTAGTGGTGGTGGCATCAACAGACGTATTAATAATCTCTATTATAGACCTCGTATGAATGGTAACGCCAATGGTGGTGGTGCTGGTCATCTACTAACCCATAATACTTCTATTATACACTCCAATAATTGCCCTAACCATGGCCATCATAATTTAGGTCCGCTAACGGGTCCCTATTCTCATTCAGCTAACGCTAGCAATAACGCATCCGCATTTAATCGGCCCAGTCGCATTAACAATACCCCACTGATTACAGCCACTCAGTTCAATAATCAAATGTTGAGCAAACAATCCAACAGTATATTGGTGGGTCGGCGCAACCATCGTACTGCTTTAAGTTTGGGCTTAAGTGGCACACCAGCTACTAATTTTAGCAATAGCAATTTACTACTAACCAAAGCTAACGCTCTCCATCTGCAAAACCACCATTCACACCATCATCATCACCATCAGCATCACCATCATCATCATAGCAACAGCAACAATACCTCAACCCAAATCACTGATCGCATTCTAATGGCTGCTTCCTTGGCAGCTGTCGGCCATCACCACAATGTGATGGCCTACGGTCACAACAATCCAAACACTGCTAATAGTTTAAGTTATCTACAACAACAGCAGCAACAGCAGCAGCAGCAGCAACAACAATTACAACAAAAACCAAAAATAGTTATTAAACCATTTAAAATTAATGATTCACAGCCTTTGGTAGCTGCATTGGCCGATTCCACTTTGGTCGATACTATTGTCTCCAAGGTATCAACTGCTACAGTCGCGGCGGCCGAAAGCGCAGCCCGCCGCAGTCGCAGCCGCTCGCGGCGCACGCGAAGTCGTTCACGACATCACGAGGGTGCCACCAATCGTCGTACCAATAGTCGTTCAAGAACGAGATCGTAAGTGTTAACTAATGTTTTAGTAAGTAATAAGTTTACGTTAAATTTCATCTTTCGTGAAAGGTCGTCGTCGAGCAGTCGCAGCAGAAGTCGCAGCCATAGCCGACGTAGTTCTCGCTCACGCTCGCATTCCTCACAATCCAGCAATTCATCACGTAGTTCGTCTCATAGTTCGTCAAGGTAAGTAATTAAAAATCAAAAGATAAAACTTCAAACGGTTGCCAAAATTATTGGCTGTTGCAGCAGCAGCTCCGCCTCTTCACGTTCTGGCTCACGTTCGCCTTCCATACCACGACGCCGCGGCTCTCCTAGCTTTTTAGATCGTCGACGGATAACCAGGTATTATAAAAGCAAAAACATTAATTAAAAAATTGAAGTTTTTCAAGATTTTTTAATTTTTCCTTTTTTATTTTGTATTTTATTCCTTTTTGAAATTCCTTTTCTTAATTTGTTAACTTTACTCACCACTGAAAGATAGAGGTATATTTATTTTAGCTCAGACCGCCAAAGTATTATCTAATTTCGACGAGACCAGACATAACATATATAAATTAACTCAAAACGACTAATCGCCTGGCTGGCTAGCAGTCTCTCTGTGTGTTTTTTTCAAATGAGATATAAATCAAAATTTGTAATGTGTTTTGTTTTGAATGGTCTTTTCTTTAGATTTTCTTAAAAATTGAATCTAAATGTAAAGTATTTTGAAAATTTAAGTCTTTTTCGGCGGTATATTATAGAAAGATAGGTTTATTTTGGTCTTGTCGACGCACTAGTCAAATTTTCAGCTTTCAAAATATGACAGAAGCAATAGTAATCATTAAAAATGATCGATTATCAGAGTTTGCTTGATAGATATAGATATTAATGCTAGTCAGCATTTCATCATTTCTGTGTGTGCGAGCGATTATTTGCAGATGCATAGACCAATCTTAAATGTATATATTAAAACCTATAATTTGTACTAAGTAACCACATCATAAGGAACCTGAAAAGTTGATCTGTGCCGTCTATAACTCCTTTTTCGCCTTATTTGCGTAAATTATTATTTTGTTTTCTTTTTTTCACTATATTTTGTAGACGTTATTCATCAACCCGTGACCGCAGACGTTGATTGTTCAGATCAAAAGTGATCATGTATATATATATATATACATATATATATATATATGTACGAGATATACGATATATATATATATATATATATATATGTACGAGATATCGTATATACATATAGTACATATATATATATATATATATTCATATATACATTATGTTAAATCCTAAGAGATTTCAATTTCTTTGAATTGTAATTTGTGTATGCTTTATTTTCACTTATATTTATGTATGTATTATTTTTTCATTTATTTCTCATTAATATTATTATTTGAAATCTTAGTTCATTGTAAAATGATCGATGTATGTTTATTGATTCAGCAATAAATTTTCAATATCGTTTAAATTTCGAATTATTCTTTTATAAATAAATTTTTAGTATTTGGAATAAATATTTAGTTTCTTTTGAATTATATTTATTTGGTAAGTTTTTTTTTTCTATATGACTTAGAATGAAATTCATTACTACATAATGTTTTGAAATATGTAACGAATTGTTGTTTTACATCTTGACTGTCTCTTAGCGCTCGTAAACGTCCTATACCATATCATCGCAAAACACCATCGGATGTTACCAGTTGTTATTGCTCCAGTTGTTGCAGCCGTGACAGTTCACCGCGATCGCATTCTTGTTCACCGTCGCATGGCAGTCGCAGTCCTTCAATGATATTTTAAGTGTAATATTTCTCCAATCTGAATTTTTTTCAGCCACTTCTTTCTTTGCAAAATTATATTTGTTAGTAATATAAGACCGTATTACTTTTCTCGGATTTATTTTCTTAATGTTAACTGATAGAAATATTGCTGATTTTGATATGTAATTAATTACACTACTAATTAATGCATTTAAGATAAATTTATGTATGCGTATGTAATTTCTATTTTCATATAGGCCTAATATTGTATATGGCAACTTAAAAAAATTTTAGTGCAATTTGTTTTTCATTCTCTTTCTTCATAAATTTAAACTTATGGCATATAATAATTTTAAATAATAAACGAAAAATATTTCATATTAAATATATAGACATGTGAATTCATATAATAATTAGTTTATATATATATATGTATGCATACGTGTTCCGAGTTGAATGCGTCTATAGCAAATATACATACAACTCAGGATAACCTAATTGGAACTTTCTTCCCGGAAGCTGAAGCTTTTATCTCCGGTGAGCGCTATCTCACTGATTTACTATAGCACTATCGCGGTGAGTATCGACGAGGACTTCTTAGGTTTTGACAGCACTGACAAAATAGACGAACACTTTCTGTCAGGATTGAAAGACTTATGTGCAGGAGCAAGGAGAGAACGAGACGTAGACGAAGCAGAGGAAGAAATAGACGTAGACGGAGAAATGTAGAAAGTAGAAAATGGACACCACGGGGGAAACAGAACGGGACGATAATACGATTCATACAACGCCTTCTAGCCCCGTTGTATGTTAGGTAATATATTAAGAACTATGTATAATACAGATGGACGCACCACTCCAAAGGAGGCAGCGCTGATACGACAGATCGAGCAGCTCAAAGCCGAAAATGCTGCATTGAAGGCAAATCGAGGCCGAGAAGTGGAAGCAGCAGCTGACAGCGGAGTGCCAGGAACTAAGGGACTCGAAGAAATCGTGAGAAAATTAACTCTTCACGATAAAATAGTGCAGATACAATTCGATAAAGTGTGAACAGATAAAAAGACCGTCTACAACCACGCTGAAGATAGGATGCTCGGGTGCGGATTAACGCCAAACGTAAGGAAAACGGTGGAGTACAAGTCAGTTTTTGTCTTCGCCGTCCAAAACCTGTTAACGGTCTTAACATGCTGCTGAGCACCCACCCCATCACTATTTATAAAGGTGATATGGATCTATTAGCTGCCAATCTCAAACCGGCAAACGAGATTGGCTCAGATGTGAGAGCTGTCATTCGCGACATCATGGCGACCAATAAGGACACAACAAAAAATGTTATAAATGGAGTATATACATGGACACAAACAGACGGCAGCAGTTGTAATATATTACTAACATACGACCACATATTGGATGGATTCAGACAAAAAACAATGGAAAACAAGCTGTTGGACTTCACCACCCAAGCGAAACAATACCAAAAAAACCTGCCCAGCTTTGGATTCTGGGCGAGGAGGAGCTCAATACAAGCAATACCATCACCCCGGTATACCATCGAATTAATCCAGTTTTGCAACAACATTACTCCAGCGGCGCTCCAAGCGGCTATCAAATCAAACGTTTTCACCAATAATGTGGACGATGCCAAGTGCGTCTACAAATTTTAA